CAACCTATGAATGGATTAATAAACTATAGTATATGTATACCATGAAATATTCAACCATAAAAAAGATGGATACTTTACAACTTTTGTATTTACCTAGATGGAGTGGAAACACGTTCTTAGTAAAATATCATAAGAATGGAAAGACAAGTATCCAGTGTACTCAATACTAATATGAAACCAATATATAAACAACTACATGCCCATATGAAAGAAAAACACAGTGTATTCTAGTGAGGGAGAGGAGAAAGGAGGAAGGGAAGGGTGAAAAGGGAGGGTGATTGGCAGCTTCTCACCTAATGTGTACAATGTGAGGGCGTTCAGCACGCCCCCTGAGTGAAGGGCTCAACTACAGCTTGAATTTTACCTTAGAAATGAAAGCAATATAACATGTATACCTTCATATTAATCTGAATTTAAAAAAAGAAAAAAAAGGTGCTAAATTATTATATGTTAATTATATAACAATAAAGCAGTTATAAAACAAAATAAAGAAAAGGTGCTCTATATGGATGATACTGACCCCTTTGAGTTTATATCAGTGTAACCAATATCCAAAATTATTAAGAAGCCATCATTCAAATGACTCGTGTTTTAGATGAAACTAAGCCAAAAATGTTTCTGTTAAATCCCACTGAACCTGAAGTGATCTTTCGATACTCAGCTTATTCGTTCACTTGTCTTGTTCAAAGTTAGAATCCTTGTAAGAGAAACAGAAAGATCATAATTATCAAGTGGTTGAGGAACTAGATGTTTTAGACAACCATTTGCATGTTAAAATTTTAAATACCCAACCAAGCTAGGGTATCATGCCCTATTAATTTCATAACAGTTATATTGAGATGTAATTCTATACAATAAAATTTACCCTTTTAAAGTATACAATTTAGTACGGTTTTGTATATTCAGAGTTATGCAGCCACCAGCACCATTAAGCCATACCTTTTAAAAGGAAATCTTTACAAACTGTGATACTCACAGAAAAGAGAGCATTTTGAATATAATTTCTTTTTTTTTGAGACAGAGCCTCAAGCTGTCCCCCTGGGTAGAGTGCCGTGGCATTACAGCTCACAGCAACCTCCAACTCCTGGGCTCA